TTTAAAAAAAAAAAAAAATAAAAACGTCAGCCAACACATCCAGGACAGAGGATTTACTGCTATTCTCCAGTCTGTATCTACAGAGTTAAAGTTCACTGTGACAGTACAGCGTGTGGTCACATGCTTCATCTAGCAGTATTACAGACAGCTCTGCCAACAACCAAACCCCCTCAGGTGACAGCCATTCCCAGCACTGCCAAAATAACGATACATTTCCAAGTGACCGAGAAGATGGATGGATGCAGACAGGGCAGCACAGCTCCAAAAGCCTTGCCTCGACAGTCCACCACCTTGAAGTCTTCTGCTTCCCCCAGCCTGGCCAGCTTCACATGCCGAAGACGTAGTTCGAACTGCTCCGTTTTACTGTCCAGGTATTTTTACCTATTGTTCCTGCTTCGACATCCTTCCTGAAAACACGCCTTTCTCAAACGTGGGTGAGAGTGCAGACGCAAGTGTACAAGCAGGCAGCCAGTCACAGGAAGATGCTCCAAGATCTGCTAAGATTGGTCCTTCCCTTCACTCTTCTGAGCTTTAGATAACGCCAAAAAGTTACAGCTATACCATCTTCAATGGGCAAGTGTAAGAGTCCCCAAGAGCACTGCACGTTCCTGAGCCTGCCTGCAGGTCTCACTGGCAACCCACACACTACCTCGTACAAATTCTCATCAGCAAGCCTCGGAGATCCTGTCTGAGCCTGCTGGCAGCTTCCCAGCCACCTCCTCATCATATTAATGACAGACTAATGGTGTAATTTGGCTAAGACCTGCACAGTCTTTCCAATCCCTTGATGTAACGACTAAAAGCACTTTCCTGCAAGATTCTTCTCCCCTTTTTCATCTAGTAAGGATAAAGTGAACCTCAAGTGTACTTGAAGAGCCTTTGTAACTCTGCAGCAAACCAGCTGAGATTTTATGGGCCCTAACAAAGAAAGAGTACACCTAGCATTCCTCTAACAGGGCTGGGATTTATCAATATATGGATAAGATAAATTGAGTTTATGAGAAGCAGAATTCTCCAAGGGTACTTGCAGCAGATTTCAGAAAAATACTGTTTTGAAGTAGCTGTAAGCTTTACAAGGAGGAAGAAAATTACTCCTATAGGAGACAACAATATGGGTACACAAATAATGTCTTCCATATTTTTTTCAGTAGGCAGGCAGCAACACTTACTCAGAACAACCCTCTCTGAAAGTAGAAAGATCACATGTCCTAGAAACAGATTAAATACTCTGTGTTCAAGAAGAGAGACATTTTAAAATGCTGAAAAGTGTGTATTTATCTCCTGGCCTGCTTTTGGAGCAAGAGAAATGACGTTTAGCTCTCGGTCTCAAATCCAGAGATAAAACATTTCCTCCAGTTGGCCAGTCACACGACCCTTGGTCCTGCTCCTCTTCACACTTACACACACCAAAGCACCTTCTGCAGTCATGAATGAAAAGCAAGTCTCCACCCAGCACAATTGCACACACAGCCCGTAAGGCATTTCCATGACGACACTTGCTGAAAATGGGATAATCAAACCCTCCGATGCAGGAAAAAATATCCCAGTTATTATCACGTTGATCTTATAGCACAAACCTTTTCCTCCTCGACCGTGGAAGAGAGGGTTTTTTGTCAGTGTCTGGTATCTGCACACAGCCAAGCACGCCACCTGCAGAGCATGTTAGGTCCTGGCCTCCAGAAGCTAAATGTAAGCTGCCTTCCATTTGCTTTCCCCCTACTCTTCTCTACTGATTATGGCTGTAAAACATAGCTAAGTGGTACCTCTGTGAAACTGTATCTTCTCCTGTGCTCCCTGGCCACATTTGCTTAACACTAACCCATTTCCAAGTATCTTTAGTACTAAGACCAGAAATGTGAAAGACGTTAATCTGGGATCATGCTATACCACACCAGCAATAATACAGAAAAAAATTACAGATGACCACGCAGAGATACCCAAAAAGACCAGTTGTGATAAACAGAGCCATTTGCCTTTACATCAGGCCCACTCAGAAGTGGCCCTCTAGAGTTTTTGCAAAGGCACCATCGCTGTGAAGTGAAATCAGGCTATGCCCAAGGGACAGCAACTGCGTGACAAGCTCCTGAAACGAACCAAAGAGCGGGTTTGCTCAGGAGGCATCGAGGCTGGGAGTTCAGGTCTCCCAGTTTCCAGGGCTGAGAGCGTGATAGAGACTGTGACAAATTGAAAACCGGCATTTGTAATCACTTCATAAAGCAACAGTGCTGCTTTTGGCATTCTCAGTGTAACCTGCACAGAGCTGTAATGGGAGCAAATAACAGGTCCTAGGGTACCAGCCTAAATGTCTTATGGAAGTAGTTGTTGATTCATCTGTAAGCAAAGCATCATGGGAGTTTCCTTTTTGAAAGTTGACGTGTTTTAGAAAGCACAAAAGGAAGCGTCCCCAAAAGGATCTGTCTTTCAGCCATTATAAATACTTAAAAAACCCGCTAATATTTCCACTGCATCATGTATTTCTCAAGCTTAAGGTCCAAATGGGAGATGAAATTCTAAAATAGGAAAAGTACAAAAAGCTTGGAAACCATGACTTAAAACAACTCTTTATTTAAACAGCTCAGTTCAGAATCAGTTTCTTACAAAACAAGGGCAAAAGTCCGCACATGTCCCCCTCTCCTCACTCATCTGTGGGAATCAGTCTTGAGTCTTGAAGAAAACACACACGACACCCCCCTCTTCCTAAGCAGCCAGGCTTAATCCCTGGCAGTCAGCACCGGCTTCACCCTCCACTGACACAAGAAGCACGTGCCCTAGAGCAGGTCCCAAGATTTAGCAGATGAGGGCAGAGATCAGTGTGCTCAGGCAGACATGTGCCTAACAGGCAATACACACCTCCTGGCAGACAGTTCTACTACTACGTTTCAAGGCACTGACTGCTCTGCACAGACAAAAATCTGGGGCTCTTCCTCCTCTCCCCCACCTCCACAAAACATCAAGATCTGTCTGGATCCTTTCTCCTCACCGCCAAACAGAATACCAGAGAGACAGTTTGTGAGTGACCCAAGTAAGGGCCAAATTTTGCTAGTTATCAGAGTCCTATAAATAGACTAAAATTCTTGGATATGGACGACTGATTGTTAAAAGCACTCTGCAACTGCTAAGAAGTTAGTTTTCACAACAGTTCTGCCTTGTGGACAGACAACTATTACCTGCTTTTTAAACAAAACAACAGTGGAAGCTGACATGCTGAAACAAAGCAGCGTGCTACTTGCCCATGGCCACTCAGTTATCAGCAAAACCAGGACTGCAAAA